ACACAGATACCTTGTTCATTCCACTATATAAGCCATTGAAAACCATTCAACTCAATCATACTACAACCTTAAACTATCGAAGAGAGAGAGAAAAAAAAAAGAAGAAAAATGCATCCAGTCATCTTCATCCTCATCCTCATCCTTTTCTTCTTTTCCACCGGCGGTACCAACCCCATTAACGTTACCACCTACACTATTTTGCTGGCCGGCGAAAGCAACATGGCCGGTAGAGGCGGTGTGAACGGCACGTGGGACCGCTTCATCCCACCCGAGTCCCTGCCGGCCAACCCGGACTCGGTCATCCGACTAAGCCCCGAGCTGAGGTGGGAGCCCGCGACCGAGCCTCTGCACCACAGCATCGACATCACCGTCGACCAAGACCACCTCGGCATCGGCCCTGGGATGGCGTTCGCCACCGCCCTCCTCCGACGTGTCGACCCCTCCAACACCGGCACTGCCACCGTGGCCCTCGTCCCGGCCGCCATGGGAGACTCCGGAATCCTCCGGTGGCAGAGCGGCAACAGCAGCGCCGTATACCTCAACCTGCTTGTCAGGGCCGAGGCGGCCGCGCTGTCGTTCGGCCCCATAGCCGGGATGTTGTGGTATCAGGGGGAATCCGACACGGTCTCCCCTCAGCTTGCCGCCGCGTACGGGCCCCGTCTACGGGATTTCTTCAACTCCATCCGAGCCGACCTCGCAATGCCGCAACTCCCGATCATCCAGGTGGCCTTGGCCTCGGGGATTTTAAACCGGACTGCTCCAGCCGACCTTGAGACTGTTCGGTCGGCTCAGCTGGGCCTCCGGATGGCGCGTGTCCGGTGTGTGGACGCCATGGGGCTCAAGCTGGAGTCCAACGACACACACCTGACCACTGCAGCCCAGGTGAAGCTGGGCCAGCTGATGGCGGACGCCTTCCTCCAGCCCTGGTGATCCGCTGCCGTGGGGATGATAAGACTCGTGTCTGTCTTATGATATATCTATTAGTAATAAAAGATTAGTTTTTAAATTCCGGCGTGAATTTAGTTTGAGAAGCTTCTGTTGGACCGTGTTGTGAATCCGCATGCAGTTGGACTTTATTTCCTTGTTTACTGAAATTAATTCTTGCCACGTTTCGTTAGATGAACGATGTCGTTTAGTCCGCACTTGTAAAGGTCCATATGCTGCACTACCTTAACTAGTTAACCAGTTAAACCATACTATGATCTACGTGAAGTTTAGTGTGGGCGTAGGCCCATACTGAAAAATAAAATACAAAATTACAAAATGACTAGGACTTACAATAATAGCTCCCACTAGTAAAAAAGTAAATAATAATTAAGAAACAATACCTTAGAATCATTTATTTATTTTAAAAAAAATAAGTGGACAAAAATAATGATGTAGAAAAAAATCAAACAGCCGAATTTTTAAAATCCGTGTTTTAAAGGAAACACGGATTCTGAGAATCTGTTTTTACGTAATTTTGCATAAAAGATGGATTTTCAGAATTCATTTTACTTTAATGACGTGATTAACCCTAATTAATTCAACCAAAAACGGGCTCTGAAAATCCGTGTTACGTAAAAAGGATTTTACTTGTTTGGTCCCATATAAATGAGAAGTGTTAGGAGAATTTTTGCTCCTACACACCCTATTATATATGCTTAGTATAGAGAGTTAAGAGGAAAGTGAGAGTTTCCCTTAGTATGTTAAGCACGCGCGAGAGTACCGCACGACGCACGCACGGAGGCGCAACCTCCGAACTATTCCGTGAGTTGGTGAAGTTCAGCCGGGCGTTTGAAGAGGTATCTTCGGCTCACTTCTTGTGAGGATATTAGTAGCATCATGTTCAGCTATATCATGAGAATAGAGTTCAAGTATTGTAGCCTTAAGTTGCTCTCGGCCGTGTGTATTCGGTCGTGTTGAGCATATTCATGTCTTTGTCCGAAACTCTCGAACTATTGTCATGTATTCAGTCATTTTAGATTATATCATGTTCAGTTAAACTCATGTTGCTCGAAGAATTTTCGTGTTTAAACGTTGAGATGGCTAGAGGGACGTGGATGCGCACGTAGCGCATGCATGGGCCGTCCGTATATGGTCATGTTAGTCAGTAGTCCTTCGAGCATTT